CCTTTGCTTGATTGATTTTTTTTGTTTTTCAATACTTTTGAATAAGGATTTTATAAAGAAAGTGCGCACTGACTTTTGGAAACTTTTGGAAAGCTTCACAACTAAAGAGCTTAGGAAAAGTAAATAAGGAATACAGGGTGAGTAAAGCAAATCAAAAGGCAAAGAAAAGGAAATCTCCAAATTTTCAATAGAAATCTCCATCCCAAAGCCTCCAAAAGCATCAAATCTCAATGGACATATCAAATTGTTTAATAGAAATCTCCATCCAAAAGCCTCCAAAAGCATCAAATCTCAATGGAAATCTCCAATTTTTTAATAGAAATCTCCATCCAAAAGCCTCCAAAAGCATCAAATCTCAATGGAAATCTCCAAATTTTTAATAGAAATCTCCATCCAAAAGCTTGCAAAAGCATCAAATCTCAATGGAAATCTCCAAATGTTTAATAGAAATCTCAATCCAAAACCCTGTAAGATAAGCAAATCCCAGCAAATTCAAAAGGGAAAAAGTAAACTATAACAAAAAAAAAAATCCACTACAACTACCCCTCCAAAAAAAAAAAAGACATTATTCTAGGGGCCTTTATAAATCAGTGCAGGGGAAAAAAAAGACATAATTCTAGGGGGGTTTATAAATCTGAGGACTACATTAAGGAAATAATGACGTGGGACGACAAAGAAAGACAACTTGGGGCCCCAGAAGTTTGTCTCTCATGCGTGATCTCTGCTGAGCCTCGGTCAAATGGGTCTATGCCCCAAAGATAGGATGCCATTGATTAGCTTACAATGGTATATATAGAAAACGTCTGTTTCCTCTTGTCCGAAACAACCCACAGGTAGTTCTGATATGTTCTGATGGCTCTAAATGATCTTCAGCCCTCGCAACATCTCCTGCTGCAGCTCGCAGTGTGCTCGTTTCGCACGGCAGGTCTCAACCTGAGACGAGACAGAGAGCGCAGCGGAATCGCAGCGTGGATCAGCAGCGTACGGAAGATGGCACATGGAAAATGATGGAACATCGGTGTTTCCATGTCTTTTTCCATTAGGGATTAGAATACCGTACCGATGTTCGATTGATAGTTCAAATCTCCTTGATGCCACCTTGCGAAAGAGGTTTCAGAAAATAGATGGGAAATAGTCGTTGCTGCTGCATGTTGTTCAAGTCTTGAAACCATGTTAGATCTGTCTTGCCCGAAGAGAGCGGCCCTCAAATGGTGGCGATCAAGGCCCGCGGCCCTCAGCTGAAAGTTCTGTGGGTCTTCAGCATTGAAGCGAAGAGCTAGTCGCTTGACCTCCAGGTCCATCCGCGAGAAGAATACCATGGCAAGACCATGTGGTGATCTGAATACCATGAATCATTCTGAATCATTCTGAATCCCATGAAGACCGATGGTTGGTACCCAGTTCACCAGGTAAAAATCGACGTGGTGAACCACGTCTCTCATCAAATCAGTCAAGGCCACCAGGGCCTTGAGGCCCTGGTGATCGGCACATTCAGCTTGCATGTATGGTGCCCGATTGATCCTGATTGATATATTCTCCCTAGTGACCAGTGAAAAGAAAACACATGCCAAGTCCCACCTCAGCTGCGTGAAGATCTGCCACACATCTACTATATAGATCTTCCAAACATCCAGATGATCTAGCCTAGTCTCCAGCCTGCTTTCGGCTTCCGTCCTCCAGCTCCACTAAGTATCTCGAGTTCGATGCCTGGCGCCACAGACGGACCGCGTCACGTGCCACGGACGACCCGTCGGATCGAAGCGGGACGGGCCTCGTAGCCCAGGACCCAGCAGGGCAACATGCGCCACTCATGCGCGATGTAGTGCAATACACAGGCCTGACTCCGGCACAGCCATCACAAAATACATATGTCTTGGCTCGTTGAATCGAAGGCTAGGTCATGGAAATTCACAAGGGCGCTGATGGGTGTGGGCAGAAACTACCCCCTTGCCCACTGGTATTGCAGAAGACTCAAGAGCAGTTTTCCTTGTAGCTCCCCCCTCTTCTTGGGCAACATCGCCACCTCAAAATGGGCTCAGCCACCCAGCGAGCCTGAGGCTTCCCCGCTGCCGGCCCGTGGCACATCGATAGCCACTCCTCAAAGGGGTCATCAGGATCAGGAGGTTAGGCATGCACCAAGTGAAGATCCATTTTGTAAGAAAAGTCGGCTTGCACCATCACTCCATGATCTAAACCTTTTTCACCTTGCACCAGCATGCGGCATGCACTACAAACGACATCAAACTACGACAGCAAACGACCATGCGACTACAAGCTTTGGACACATAGACACACATGACTCCATGACGCAAAAGGACCAACCTACAGGCCCAGCAGGCGCCCAGTGGCGTAAAAAACCAACCACGCGCGCGGCCTGTGGCGTATGCACCTCGAAGTCCATTGGGGTGTCCTTGCCACGGTCGTATGCGCAAAAGAAATCGTATGCAGCACTGATCAAGTCTGGACTTCCCCGTGATGTCGGATGACCGAGTGGTGTCTCCAGACATTGTGGTGACATCACGGTGACCTCGCGGGGTGGTTTCGGAGGGAGACTGTGCAGCTTCCAACAAAACGATGACCCAACCATCACCAACCAAGCTGCAAAGGCTTCGAGCGGGAGGCCCGTTGAACCCTTCATGGCTCCAGACATTTCGTGAGACGGTTTGCTTTGAAACTTTGTGACTTGTTGTTGGTTGCGCACTGCAAAAAAGAAACAAAAAGAAAGATCACTGGGCTAAAGCATCGTCCGTCTTGGTCGAAGAATGGAGGAGATTTCGTGGATTAGCTGATGCTGCGCACGAACACACCCATGGCTGCATACGGTACAAACTAAGATATTTGAGCTGAAAATGCTGAGGTATATATAACTGATAGTCAATAGTGTGCGGATGGAAGCAATTCTGGGTAGTTGCCCTCTCGCCGGATACCAACACCAAAACAGCGCATGGAATTGAAAAAAGAAAACATTATTCACCTCCAAAAAACAAGTCGCGTCCAGAACCTGACCACTATATAGCTACAAATTTCCGGAAGTCATAGATTGTACACAAAACGCAACTATAATAACGGTTGTCTACCTTCTCTACAGCTGAGCGACGCCCCAAATGGAGAGTGTGGATCCTCGTTTTGGATGCGACGCTTGCACCGAGGCTGGATCCTCAGGAGCAGCCAGTGCAGTTGCCAGCTGCGCCTATTCTCAGCTCCTTGGAGCTTTCGGCACAAGCTGAGGCTTGTACCAAATCCTAAGAACCCAAGAGAGTCTACAAAGCCGCTGGAATACGCCAGAGGAATCAGCCAGCTCTAGCTGCCAAAAAGCTTTTTAGACCAGGGGGAAGGGGTGACTGTGGCCACTTGACTAGTGACATTCTGCGTTCTAATGCATTTCCTGCGGCTGGGGTCAAACGAAGAGGCTCCAAAGTGACAATCAAGATTTCAAGATTTCAATGAGCGTGATGATGCCACATGAGAGCCTCTCGGCCTGATACGAAACCACTTCGTGGCAAATCTTTTTAACTATTGCAAGTGAGACATTGCAACTCAACCGCGACGCCATCAAGCGCCACCTGAGACGAAACCTGCCAAGACGCAAACGCTTCACCGGGAGCGTGGGATAAGTCACACACTGGACCAAGCAGATTATCAACCAACCCTTGATAGAAGTATGGAGCAGGCCCTCTACATGTGCCTCTCTGTCAGATCTACAGTCTGTTTCCATCTGTCTGCTTCCTCACTGCTTGTCCCTGAATCTATATAGTAGTTTCTCCTCTCATATAGTATACTTGCCTGTTGTTGCAGTCGAATTGGCGCTTGTTGGCGCTTGTTGGCGCGTGGTTCCCGGAACGACCCCCCTCAGTCTGTCCACCTGCGCCTAGTGACGCTCACGAGTTCGTTTCCTTCTGACGCTGACGTTCGTCGTGCGTTCGGTCTTCGTCTCAGCATCGAACCAGCATCATGATGGTAAGGTACATCAGGAAAGGGCCTATGAAGCAAGAGCATGCAAGAGCTCAATAGCTCAAGTGGTCCATATCGACGAATGAAAAAGGAACACTTGTGAGTCTGAGCACAAGCGGATGCCAGCCAAGTGAAGAAGCCACTCTGAGACCGGAGCAGCTTCAAAGTTTTTGGCAGATCCACTGGCCGACGCAGCGCCTCCCCCCCCCGAAAGGGTCATGACGTCTGCGGCGGCGACAACAAGCGACGACGCCTGCAGGTGCCCAACCTGCCCAGCTGGTGCCAAAGGCTCCGGTGACATGGGCGCCTCAAATCGTTCTTCCACAAGTCGGAAGCCCAAAAACTCAGCTCACATGGCTTCGCACCAGGAGAGATCTTGGGATAATCATGGATGATCAACTCCATGATGCTTCTAGGGTGCCCTTCATGTCTTCTCCATCTTCTGCTCAACCCCACCACGTCACCACGTCCGGTCCGTGCGTCGTTGACTCGGTCGCCCCGGCCGCGGGCGGGGACGGAGGCCACTCGTCCTCGGACTCCGGCGGCGCCTCGGCACCCTGCAAGGCGAAGCACAACGAGTCAGATGGGCATGCAGGAGTCAGAGGATGGAGGAAGGTCATGAAGGACGGAGGAAGCTCACTGAGGTCTTGGAGTATTTCTTGGTTTCTTGGAAGTAGAAGTATTGGAATGCGTTGGAGTAAATTATGTAGATACTGGGGTAAAGTATGTAGTTATATATAATTTATGTTTCTGGCTTTGAGCAGTTCGGAGCGGATCTGGGCCATCAAAGGAGGCGCAAGCAAATGGATTGGTAAGGCACTATCAATTAAGTTATCAGAGAAAAGAACAACCTACCCCTGCGTTATGTTCTTCGTCTCAAGAATACCCTTCAAGACTTAAAACAGAAATGCCCGCCTCGGAGCGCAACTCCAGTTCATCGTCTGTGAGGCGATCAGCTGGCCTCGGGCGTGCTTCTGGGAGCTCTCAAACAGATTTCAATTGATTTTTGGAGCACCGTATGGTCTAGCCTCGCCAGCAGCCTACACCGCCTACAAGGGAAGCCGTCCTTGGCGATGTCCGCAGCATCGTGCTCGGCGAAGCTGCTTTCATCTCCTGCCGTTTCACTTCAAGGACCTCAGGACCTCAGGTGTATGATGGAATCCAAAAACGAAGAGCCATTGTCTCTGCCCCATGATCTAAGAAGACAGGTGCTTTAACAGGCCAGCTCTCCACCAGCTCTCCGCCAGCTCCGCCCATCTCCTGCGCTCGACCTTGGGCATCTCGAGGCTCCGGGGGCCTTCGGAAAGATCCCCAGCCGAAGGACCCACCCAACTTCAGCCCCCGGGCGCGCCCGTGCCTGTCCCAGGTGCTGAAGGGCGAGGCACTGGCCAACCTGCCGCTCCAACCGGCAGGTTGGGTGCAAAAAGACACATCTCCCCGGGCCTTTGGCCAGCAACGGGCCTTAGAATCTTGACCACAACAAGTGGGGTGGCCAGATGTGGGCCATACTACACAACTCTGCGTCCGACCCCGAGCGTTTCCTGGGGCTTTTCTCCCGGCTTTCCGAGCTCGCTGCGGATCCCTCGAAGGCGCCATGGGCGGCTCCGGGCTATCCACCAGCCTGAGGGGCGCGCTGAGTCGAGGCGCGCTGTTACGGCAGGACGAAGCCAAAACGGGACAGACAAACCAAGACGTCGACGTTTTCTCTTTAAACAAAGGCAGACGTCAAGAGGTCGGCATCTTGGTTCTTTTTGAGGTCTCTTGGTGGATATGCGGGCCTTGTGGGCACAGAAACTGAACTTCCTTTCATCTTTCTGGCCGCTGGTCTATAGTCTGAGAGAGGGAGCAAAACAGGTGAGGAAACTCAACTCCATGAATGACCTTAATAAACGTGAAGCAAATCAACAGGTTGAATGCTCCAAGCCGCGCACACCGCAACTTGGCCAGTCGAAGATTATATAGACTATGGACTGCTGTCAAAAGCACCGACCCACAAAATACAGGCAATTCATGGAAGACAAGCTCAGCCTCGTCGCATAGGAAGAGCTTGGCAGTGCCGGAGATCTCAACAAATATGGACTGCCGCAACTGCCTCAGGGACTTTGGTGTGGAAGCTCGACAATGCCACAAATGGGCCTGTATTAAAATAGGAAGACCCCCCCCAAACAAAATAGCCTGGAAGAAGGAACAAGAAGGCACATAGGCCACAACCCATTGCTGGGAGTTGTCCATAGTTTTCCTCTTCCCAACCCCAAAATGGCAGGAATCTCCTCGAAATCTCCTCATATCTCCCTGTTCTCCCTGTCTTGCCTCCTCGGACCTCTGCCCACGCCAACGCCCGAGACTCCCAGCTGGCGGATCTCTGCGGCGTCGGAGACGCGGGCAAACTGACGAAGAAACGGAGGAGGGCGCAACGTGTGGGTGTGGGTCTGGATACCAAGCACACAAAAAAAGAAATAACATCTGGATCACTCTGTTTGAAAGCCGCTGGCATCAAACCCCGCCTGGATGAGGGCAGCGGAGACCGTACCGACAGCCTTCGGACCTGCACCACGAGACGCAACGAGACGAACGAAGACTCCGAGGGCTTCGGTATCGCTGCTAGCAGCACTCGGTTGCTTTCGTCATCGCTGCGAGCCCTCGCCTCTTTTTCATGGGAAGAATCGTAATCATTTCCACATAGCTGCTGGCAGCAATCGCCTGAGCAAACAAGCTGTTACAAGATGGCATGGCGCCAATGAAGACACCCTGTTTGTGAAGCAAATGGCCCGAACCTCATTGCACAGGAATGGCCAGACAAAATTTACAAAAGAAGAATGGCCCGCAAAAAAGTTGCGATCCTCCACAGAAAAAGGTGACTTACTTCCACATGTCCATTTTGGGATGGCTTCTTGAGAGCAAAAAAGCCTATCCTCTGTGTTTGTCAACCTCCTCAAACCACCGGTCCAGGCTTCACACCATGGGTTTCAGGCTCAACACCCACTGCGGCCGTTTCCGGCCGCTTGGCCGTCCGTGCGTCCATGCCCGCCTTCTTCATCTGCTTGGTAGGCCGGAGCCGTGCGCGGAGGCTCCGAAACCGTGGCCTGAAGTGGAACCAGGGCGAGTCGGAGCGTGGAAGGAGGGGCCGGGGAATCGCACCAACATGTTTTACATATGGCTGTGGGTCGTGGCACCCCGGAGACCCTTTCACCACCAGGGTAGGTTGACCGAAACCAGGTCGTTGACCTTCTGTGCATTCCAAGAAAGGCGCCCGGAACCGTTGCCGCAATGTAGAAGTCAGCAAGGTAAGTCCGAAACAAAATGACACGGGAATCCCTCTCACATAGGCCAGGAGCCAACAGTACAATGGGAGAACTTTCGGATTGCGAGGCAGTTGATGGTCCATCACTGAAGTTGAGAGTGAAGTTCCCACGATCCCAATATCAAATCAGGGCTTAGATTGAAAAAAATAACATTGTGGCTTCACCGGCGCAAACGCAGTTTCTTCTCATGGTCCAGGTTGTGGAACTTCACAACTCCTCCAAGCTCTGGGCATTGAATCTCGACACCTCTCTGGATGAGGCCTCCACACCGTCCGGTGCAGTGCGGTGTAGGATGACGGCGGAAGGGATGGACACGTCGTTTCCGGCGCCTTCTGAAGGGTGCGTGCACCTTCCACAGGAAGAGAACCGCCTCGGGATAAACACACGTGTTTTGCTTCTGGCAGAAAGGTGAACGTCTATAGTGTCTATGTGCGTAAAAACACGTCTATACCATCTGGCACACGTGTTCTTGTAGTTTTCTTGTACCATTCAACATAAAGTTCACCCTAGGTCATCCTTTGCTGCCAACATCCCGTCATAAGTTGACTGGACCTCTTTCATGGTGATTCGAATGAGGTCTGCTCCGTTGACCCCACAACGATGCTTCGTTTGCACTTGTTCCAACTGCATTCTGATGGCCTTGCGACAGAGCCGATCGCAGGGAACCGGTGTCTTTCTGCAGCAGCTGCAACTCGTGTTGCAACCTGGCCGAAACATTGACCAAGAAAAATCAATGGGAAGTCAAGCAAAAACAACATCCAAAAGCTTCGACATGACCTGTCAAACTGGGTCTTGTCTGCATTCAGTCTTGTCACCATGCATGTTGTTCCAAGAAAAGAGCACTGAGAGGGAACCTCACTTGAAAGACTTCATGTTCTAATATTGCGTTGTTCCGTCACGTGCATGACAACGGATGACATTTTGACGTGTACGTGATCGTGATCCAATAGGCCAAGAGACCCAAAGACCGTCTCCTTCAGGCTGTTGAGCTCTTGCCTGGCACCAAAAAAAGACACCAATGCAAGCAATATCAGCCTAAAAGCAAGAAAAACATCTCCAAAGCAATATGTTTCCTGGATTTTGTCCGGCAACTTGACCAAAAAAGCTCTGTGGTGTCCGTTGCGTCCACCGAAAAGCCCTCACAGACCATTTCTAAGCTCCTCACGTTGTCGAGCCGAAAGCTTCATGAACCTGCTCAAAAGGGCGGCAACATGCTTGAAGTGTTGGAGAAAGCGACAGGAAGCGAAGCAAACGTCTAATCACCCCTAGTACATTCCAACTAAATTGGAGTATATATTTAAATTAATTAAGGGGTGGTAGCAGTGCTGGCAGGGTCAGTGATTAGTGCCTGTGTCAGTTTGTTGTAGTCCGGTCGATCCTGGTTGGGTCCGTCTTGGACTCTCAACAACGACTCGTTCGCCTTCTTGTTCAGCTCATGTTGCTCTCTTCTGCCGTTGAATTGAAACTCTTTCACCTGACAACGTCAGTCAAAAAAGGCTTCAAAGCCCTTCTCATTCACACAGGAACCGCTGAAAGAAAACACACACACACACAAGAGGAAGAGTGAAACATTCTGAAACCCATCTTCCATCCATACATCGAAATCTGTAGAAGCTGACCGCTCTGCCTCGTGTGCATCCAAGCTGGATGCTTCGGGCGGTGCCATCTCCATCTCCAGCTCCTGTGCTCCTCGGCCACCGACCACCCACACCAAAGCGCCCCGCCGCGCAGGGCATCGCGCATCGCGCCAAGCAAGCGACCCTGGCGGCGTAGACCGGCGGGAGCGGCGGGACTGCGCATCGACCTGGAGACAGGACCAGAGGCTGATTGGGAGGCTGATTGGAGACTCTCCAGGCGGAAAAGGAGCTCTGGACTCATCCAGTTCACCCTGGTGTTACTTCTTTTTTGGGGGAGGGCGCTTGGCCTCAGCGCTCTGCGGGTGCTTTTCGGGCATGTGAGATGTGTGGCTCTCAAACCAAAGAAGTTCTGGTGACATTGAACCTCACTTAAGCCCTCACATTGTCGCGTAGGCTGATGGGATGGAATCCTGAATAAAAAAGGTCTGCCACACGGCACAACTTGAGAGAACGTGGGAACCTACCAGTATCTAAGCTGTCTGTGATCAGCTGGAGGGCTTTCGGCTTCGGGATTGTCTCTCTCGTTGTGGTGAATTCCTGGCCAAAGAAGAATAAGTTGACACTCAGCTTCAGCATTGAATGCCACTCAGCTAATGATTGACAGGGTGAATGTTTGACACTCAGCTTCAGCATTCCCACAGCCCCACCGCGCCTCTGAGCAGAAGGCCTAGGATCGGAGGGTGGTGGGCATGGGCATGGGGTATGGATCGCAATTCTCCAGCCAAACCCTTTTGAACTTGGTGGAAAAAGCTTAAAAGCATTGGATACTGGTAAGTTGTATGAAACCGTTTGCAAAACCTGCACCTTTGTCTTATCTTGTTTGAATGCCACACACGACTCACAGTTGCACGCGACTGACTCGTGAGTCTGTCCCGTCCAGGCTCCCCACAGTGGATCTCTGGAGGAGTCCATGGGAGGCTCCCGGGTAGGAGCAAGCCTCATTGACTCATCTTCGGCAGTTTTGGAAAAGCTTCCAGCCCGGTCGCTGTTTCTTCTCTTAGAAAGGATTCTCCTGAGCTTTGGCTGGTTCTGCTCTTTCTAAGACACATAGGGCCTTTTTCATTAGCAGAGCTTGTAGACGACACCTCGAAACCAACGCAAAACCCTTGGCTGACCATGCTGGCCAGCGGCCCCACGTGTGGAGACGCAGCACTGGACGGAGGCACCGACGGAGTCGCACTGCCTCGTCCGGAACAAGCCACGAGGACACGTCGGTGGGCTGCGAAGTCTGAGGACTTCACGGTAGGTGGTGGTCCCTGCTGTGGTGGCCACTGGAGACATAGGCAAACTGGCGGAGCATGCGGAGCATGGGCTGTTCAGTGGAGAAAAGGAGAATGTGGTTTGATGTCGTGTATGGATGAAAGGTTGGAGGCACCAGAACAGTCGGCTGCTCCACATATTGTTGGAGCTTATTCGGGCAAAGAAGGCAAGAACACGTAGAAGCAGCATCCAAAGAGGGATGACATGTTCACACCAGGATGAGGAACAAAGGCTTCCACCTGCACCGCATCCTGACCTTTCGACGCCCAACAAGGACACTCTCTGCTTGCTTCAAAGTTCGGGTAAGACCCCGCCCCCGTCGTTTGGAGACTGGAGATTCGAAGGAACCCAGCTCTGTCTGTAACTGTGCTACCACAGAGGCCGCTGTGCTACCACGGAGGCCGTGGAAATTCGCGTAGTACGGCTTCTGCAAAGACCCAAGCCGCAAGGCCAGGAGGCCGCGTCTGTACGCTCTCATTAGCGTGGAACATTCTACATGTTTGACTCCAAGCGACCACCCTCGGCACCATCTTCACATAAAGAGAAAGGAGATCATCATCCAAGCAAATCGTTGAAATACAGCCTCTCGTGTATTCTGTCGACCCGTCCACTAAAACGAAAAGCTCAACTTCAAACTCATCCAACATTAAAGGACGCTACCAGCGTTGGTACGGCAAGCATGCCATTAAAAGGGTGTGGGCAACGACAGGATCATTGGGAGGGTGGAAAAAGGAGAAACATACGAGACCGAGACATGAGACACTGCCACTGTTCAAGGTCCATATGGTGAAAGACACGAAATGCAGGAGCTCCGGAAAGAACATGTGGCAAGCCTGTTCCAAAAGAAACGGTGAGCCGTATCTGTTTGAAGGCACGCTCCAACGCCTGGTGGCTGGAAGCTCACGCCAGGTTTTGGTTGAAACCTTGGACAGTCGAAATCGACTTCCAAGGCCAGGAAGATGAAACAACAACTTTGCATCTATCTCAAGGCCTCTGTTTCATAGAGAAAATTGCCACACACTGAAAGTGGTTGCCAGCAATGTCCTCTCAAGCAACGCTATCCAGCACACACAGCATGACAAGTAAAAACTGCTTCTTCCACACAACGGTGGGCTTTTGGTGTCTTTGCCAGTCAAAGCCTGACGAGATATTTCATAGCAAATAACAGCACACCAGTCTTAAATTTGCAAATCCGGATTGAGCAGTTGTGTAGGTGTGTCATAGTGTGTCCGGAACGATCAAGGATTGAGACGGCTGGATTTCAGCTGAGACGTGGGGTCAGGTGGGTCAGCCGAAGTGGTGGGTCAGGTGCGTCTGTGGAACAAATGGGCATCCACTGTTGGGCGATCTACAGCTCAGTGGCCGAAGGAAAACTTCAGTTTGATATGCTTTTGAGACAGTTCTTGAAGGTATGTGCTCCTTCTGCAAGGAGTTCTATAATGGATTCACGGACTGCTTTTCTCTTGCTGTTCAGCAGTCAGTTCGGGCAGCATTCTAGATGCTTGCATTGTTTTCTATCTGCTATGCAATTGCTTTGTCGTGTTGCTTCAAGACCATCTGCTCCATACTGAAACTGGTAGTAACACACCAGACCTCACATTTGCGTGCAAGCCCTGGCATTTGTTGCTATTATATAAGCTTTCAAGAGCTATATAGGTTCATCTGTCGGTTTCCTGTTAGTTGTTTGCTAGAACAAAGAAACCGGTGTCGAACTATCTGTACAAGTCCGCTACCCAAGACTTTCAGACTTTCAGATCAGTATCCCAGGCCTACCTGAAAACCAGATTCAGTCTATCACCTGTTTGGATTTAGGATTTTCATTTGGGCCTTCAATGCTCTATGGATTGGACTGCACTCTGCCTGCTGCGGATGGGGCTTCAGCCAGTACAGTGGAACAAGATTAGGGTGCGCACATCTAGAGCGGAAAAACACCCTTATGCCCCTTATCAGTATTACTGTAAGTTCTCCGTTTTCACGGCCACTTCTAGAACGTGTGCCAGGACTGGGTTCCTTGACGGGGGAGTAAAGCACCTCATGCGTGCGCATGCGTGTGCGCTGTGCATCTGGAGTCCTTCATCTATTCTCCACAGACTCGAGGACCCGGATTTGGCCTGGCGTGCCCAAAGCGGATTTTGCCGCTTGAAGTACTAGACTTTGTGCTCCTCTTGTGGAACAGCGGAGGCAAGTTCGTCCTCTTCAGCCTCACAGAAGGCACTGAGCACTTCTCTCTCACTCTCTCACTCTCTCTGGCACAAGCACAGGTTGCTGCACTTCACTCTTGGATTCTGAGCTCGGAGCTTTCTGTCTGGGAATTTCCTTTGCCACACCTTTTGTTATGGTTGATGAAGCAGCCTCGAGCGACAAGACAAGCTCCAAAAAATGCTTTGGAGCCATGCTTTCAGCCTACGGCATCCTCCGCCAAGGTGCAAAGTCAATCGGGAGGGAACTACCTGGCATTCCGGAAATGGAATCTCAGCAAGGCTGAAATGCTCCAAACGACCATCCGTCAGAGCCATCAGAGCCAAGAAAAACAACACGATTGGGTCAGTCTAGGCGCTGTGGGAAAGGGAGCCACCTGGAATTGCTCTGCCCTGCGCAGGTCTCGCCCACCTGTCCGGCCTCCAGCACTCGCAGAGCCCAAAACCATGTCGCGCGGCAGCGAGTACGGATCACTGCGCAGCCTTGGTAGGCAAAGCATGTGGGATGTCCAAATGGAGCAACAAACACCCGAACGAACAGGTGAAGATCTTCGGGGGTCCGTTCTAAGTCAAACTGAGGCTGAGAGGAAACCCTCAGTCAAGAGCTATGAAGAAGACCAAAAGGCCAACTGAAGGACGCCAAGAAAAGTAAGATGGATGCCGTTAGGTCTGAGAGCTTCAAAATGTTGCTCTGCAAATGCAATCCAATGCCTAAACAGCAGATAATGCCATGCGGTGCGCCCCTCCGTCGCTCAGACAATGGCTTGGCTCTGTCGCTTTGCCACACCTGACGACACGCTCGGAGGGAACGGATGGTCCGTTTGGACCCGGACCTAGTAGGATATGGTTATTGGAGAGTTCTACCCGTCAAACTGTCGCTTGTTGAGAAGCAAGAATCCTTCGATGGTGTGCAGGTTACGATGTGACTTCTTGCAGCGGGCGCATCTCTGTATGGGATCCGAAGCACATGAATGCCCCCCCCCAGACTTGCGCGCGCGCTCCAGACGTGCCACACCGACTCCAAACCCCACTCCTCGAGAGGGCCCCCACATTTGCCTTCTCCTCCAACTGTTGTGGCACAGGACCTAGTCCACCGAGCTTGGTCTCCTTTTCCTGCGATGAAAAAGGAAAAATACATAGATCCGCTGCAAAAACGATTCTGCGTGGCGCGATTGCAGTTCGCCATACAGACATGCCACCGCGATGCAGAGCTTGCGATGCAGATAGAGAGCCTCCAGCATCTCGAGGTGCAAAGCTTGGCCCTCCGCCTCTGACTCGAAAAGTCGCTAAAATGAAGTTCTACAAAGAATGACGGGTTCATACGTCAGGCCAAAGATGTTCTCCAAATAACTGCAAAAATGCACCAAAATGAACAGCACTTCTACAAGTCTTTCTTTCTCTTTGTCCATTTCACCCTCTGCCATCACCTGAAAAAATGGCGCATAACTCCTCACCCCCAGTCTCACCTGTCGCGGCTGGACCAACCAGGAGACCTTCTGCTCCAACTCCTCCAGCTGCGCCGCCAAGAGCTGGCGCTCTTCCTCGAGCGAAACGGCACGAGGTGGGACACCACCACGACGGTTTGTGCCGCGAAGGCCGCGTAGGTCTGTCCCAACAGACGCCGCTGGGAGACCAGCTGGCGGAGATGCTTTCAAAAGCCCAAGGAACTTCGGGGATTTGATCAAGACCCATCGAGAACAGCAGTGATAACTAGGTGCTGCGGCCTAAACAGAAACATCCTGTTGACTCCGAAGCTTTCTGGGGGACAATCCCCCACTAAAAGGTTGCGATGGGCCCGCTGGTGAGGATCTCCATCTGCAAGAATCCAGGGACAAGCAGGATTCACCATCTTCAGCTTCAGGATAATAGTATGGTTCGCTAGCTTCAAAATATTGTCACATCTCTAGATCTTCCAAGACACCCGTTCCCCAGAACTTCGACAACATGTGATGCCCTGCCCATAATCTGTCCGCCCATGGCGTCTGGTGGTAGAACTCTGCACCAAACACCATCCAAATGTCCATGAACCCATAATTAGACCTCAATAAATGATAAATCAAATAAGCAAAACTCTTAACCCATATGGCACGTCAGCCCACATGGTTCAACCTACCCCCAACCTGCCCCCCATGCCGGCCTCTTCGCTTAGGATGGGACCTTCGACTATCGCCTGTGGAAAGGGAGGAGCAATGAGAACCACCTATGGCTCATAAATTGGTAGAACGACTTGAGACAGAACCTCAGAGGTTCTTTTTTGAGCCCAGCCAAGGAGTGTACTTGAGCAAGGGTCTGGGTAGGAGAATAGCTGTCCTTGGGAGGAATGAAGGTCGTTGTGGTTCCCCTGCCCTTCTCCCTCTGCAAGCGGCAGCTCGAGTCTGAGGTCATGAAAACGACTAAAAGAAGACGGAGGGGGGCTCCTTTTTCAATGAAATCCCCTGTCCGTCCATTTTGAAAGATATCGCCGCATCTGAGGTGCATGTTGATTTTGGCAAATCTACCTTTCCTCAGAAAGCCTTCGATGTCATTACTCAAAAGAGCCTGTCTCAACCTTAGGAGATTCACCGGGTGGCCTCGTTTCACAATACCCATGTTGTCAGTGCTTCGGCCACACCTCTTCAAGCTCGGCACTTCCGCTTTGGTGTGCCTGAAGGCAAGCGAGAGCAACTCTCTCACAATCCACAGCACGTGGCTAAACCCGTGTATGGCCCGTGTATGGGTAGTATGGGCATAAAGCTAAAAAGAGTAAAAGTGAACTGCCAAGAAGAAGACTAAAAAGGTTGGAATTTCACCCACCGGACCGGACCTTCCGTGTTTGTTTTCACCCACCGCGACACCGCTGGCTTTGTGTGTCCGGGACATGACCCCGCCAGGGCCGCCGGTCCAGCTGCGTCGGTGATCCCTCCACCATCCTCTCGCCACGGTCCCGCTGCCTGTGAGCCGGTCCCGTCCTTTGATCCCAAGGGTGCACCCTCTTCACAAGCCTGAAGAATGAAGAAAGTGAGATGTTTGTGCGATGGAAAACAGCTTGCTTTGCACTGATGATTCCTTGGACTCAACAAGAGTCCACGTCCATGTTTGTTCTTCTTCTTTATTCCCTTGCCATGCACTTCGTTGCACTGTTGCAACAAAAAGAAGCGCTTGGGCGCTTGGCATGGAGTCATACTGAGTCATACTACGCGTTGTCCAGCCGCTCGAAGAATATGTGTGTTTTGGAGAGGGTCTCTATCATATTGGGTGGCTAATACGATTGTGAATAGCTTCGTTGGTTCGAAACTGCCATTGCTGTCAAGTGCACACAACTCTACGTTTTTCCAACATGGACAGGCTCAGCGCCTTTGTCTGAGGGGGTCTGAATTTGGCGCACGCGTGTGTGTCCTGCCTTTCCTCAAGCTTCCATCCAATCTGAATCAGTACCCATGTTTACTGCAACGACCGTCCGGTCAGACATCGCCTGAAACACCCCCCACCTTTCGTTTCCATCCCCGGCAGTGCGTCCCCCCGTTCTCGCTGCGGCCTCGCTGGTCCAAGGCTCCTCGACGTCCACCGCTTCGCCCCGCGGCACGACGGAGCCTTCGCCCTCGCCGCTTGCGCCGACCCGGCTCGCGCCGGTGGCCGGGACTTGGAGGGGAAATAGATACCCAACGACCGAAACGGTGGATGTAAAGAAACAGCTCATGACAGGCTTAGCCCAAACAACGGTTTTTGGTGTGGCATTTTTGGGGGTCTGGACGTCCAGAACCAGAGACGAGCTCCAACAACACCAACGACCAAGTCTTAGGAATCGAACGCACGACAAGCTTCGAACGACCCAAAAGCTTCGACCAAGTGACACAGAAGTCGCTGTTCCGCCATGGGCTGTTGAATGAACTTTTTGCACCCATGACTTACCCTTCACTATCTTCACTCACAAACCTACAAAATCCTTTTTGAGGAAACAGGAAATGGGCGTGTTTTCACCGTAGGAAGACCGATGTGTTCCGGCTCCGCGCCGTTCGCGCCGTTCGCGCCGGAGAGGGAACGGGTGCAGGCGAGCCGTCGGCCGCCTGAGGACGGGGCTGTCCAGCGCTTTGGAGCGCTGGCCGGGTCCAAACCCGAAGAAGACCAGGATCCTGTGTGGGTGTGTCTGTAAGGCCTTGTTATTGTCCAGAGTTCGACTGATGTTGTTATGTTTCAAGCGTGAAATGGTCTGCGTTGTTTCTCATGTGGTTCTTTTCTCTCACCTTAGGTTGATGATCGCGGTTGTCTGCTGGGCTCTCCGTTGACCTAGCAAAGGCAGAGTCGCAGGCTTCCTCCCTTTGAGTCGTTTTACTCTCTTCACAACAAATGCAACGGAGGAAGCCAACTGTCAACTGATCTGGTCCACGGTCCACTCAAGCTTTTTGGGAAACCAACTAGTTCGAAGTTATCTGCACTTTGACCTGTCGCGCTACTCCCCTCCGTTCAGTTTGGAGTTGGAATTTCTTGAATTTAATCTCAGTGTTTGGACCTCTTTTCTTGAGCTCAGAACTTTCTAGCCTTGGGTTCTGTTCCTTTTATATACTGTCTTCTTGAGATGTCTGCAACCAGGTAGGTCAATGTTGATGACAAGGCCAGTCTTCTGTTCAAATTCAGATGATCACGCTTGGAGGTGTTACAAAACTAATCTAGTGCATAGCCATGACATGTAAAAGTGGCTCGTGACTGCCACTTTGTGTGCACCTTGCACCGTCAACGTGGAACAATCGTTTGGGTTCAAAACGTTCAGAAACCCGAGGCGTTTTGAGGCCACCAGCACTCGACACTCCCGCGCCCACCTTGCTTGAAGCGTTGGCACCTGCCTGAATCGACAAGAAACTCTCATAACAATGAAGATGTTCCAACCAGAAAACCTGGCAGAAGAGGAACAACATGTCTTGCCAGCGGAAAACCCTGCTTTGACATAACAAGAACTAAGAAACCCGCCTGCTTTGACCCGTTCGATCGGCCACACAAACTCGAAGGGTTCTTCGAACCTGGTTGTCGAAACGGCACGACCAGGACGATCAGTTCTTCAGCCACTTCTCAGCGACACGAAACACCGTTCTGGGACACGGGGAGGTTCGAACGGAACCTGTCCAAAGGCCGCTCCACCAGAACTTGCTTTTTGCTTTCGTTGGCAGAAACCTGGCTTCGACCACAACGTGGCGCGATTTCGCGGATGTGGCATGCTCTTCCAGTCTGTCAAAAAATGTCAAAAACATATCTACTCATATCTCTTGGCATGGCACGGCTTTGAAACGTCCAAATGATCCGCGTCGATCTCTGAAAAACGCACCATTGCACTGGCAAATTTCCTGTTGTGTGTTGAACGGCAGAACTGTTGTCAATTCAATCTGTGCTAAAGCGCTGGAACGATGTCGGGCTCAATGTCCCACTTAGTTCTCACCCCGCATGTTTCCCAAGAGTCCCTAATCTTTGAGTTGCTTCGATTTATATAAATTCTATGGAGTCTGGCCGGAATCCTTCAAACCAAAAGAATACATCAATGCATCAATCAATCGGAAACGGAACAAAAAACATTGGCCCTCCTTCCCTCGTTTCCATATTGCAGCATGCCACCATCTCCCAAGTCAAACCATTTTTGGTTACTACTTGGTAACACGATTGAATGGCACAAACAAGCTTGAGAAGTTGGGTTCAATAACGATTGAATCTCCAGATCTGCACAAGACTGCACGCAAACTCAGTTTTCCTGATGTCATCGAGTGCATTACAAATTCAGGCACCATCCTGAGCCCTGCCCACAATGGACTGACTTAGTTTTAAGTGGGAAACGTGTCGGGCCATGTGTTCACTTTGGGCACTCGATGTCAGACTACAAGCTGCTGGATTTGAAAATAATGCGTTCGCATGAAAAAAAAATTGACTCGACGACAAGGGTGGCCAAACGCACCATGGCAGCATGGGAAGCAGCGGTTCTGAGGTTGATGATGATGATGATGATGATGATGATGATGATGATGATGATGATGATGATGAT